AAAATTTTTGAAGGGAAAAAGGGGGGGAAGTTTTTTTGGGGGGGGGGGGGGAAGGGGGTGTTAATAATGGGGGGAAAAGTTTTTTAGGGTTTTTTTTGGGGGTGGGTGTTTTTTTTTTTTTTTTGGGGGGGGGGTTTTGGGGGGGGGGGGTTTTTGGGTTTGGGTGGGGGGGGGGGGGGGGGGGGGCGTACTCTTATGTTTTGCATGCCTTAGCGGTTAGACCATTGACCACGCGTCCTCGAGAGGACGGAGCATTGTTCCCACAGGGCCGATCACCGATGGCCAATCGTTCCTTCCTACTTTGCCAAAGGTGGCTCAAAAATGTCTTCCCTAGTTTGTCTATCCTAACGATGTCCCTTCCCGCCTTTTCAAACCACTTTCTACTCCCCAGTACCGCTACCGTCCTCTCCTCCCTATTCCATGCCTCAAACATCTCCCTGTACGTCCCTTGTATTTTTCCCAGCTCAGTCATGTACACTTCCCTCTCCTTTTCGTACCACGGACATTCCGCGACTACATGAACACTGTCTTCGCATTCGAAGCCGCAATCACATTTGAACTTGTCGTCTTCGTCGTCTACCGTCCTATGTCTTCGTCGACGTTCGCGAAGGCCTATGTCCCCGGTCCTGAATTTGACCTTAAGCTTTGTCCCTGCATTCAATGGTCCATGTAGGTAATCCTTGAACCCTATCCCTTCTTTCAACATTCCGTACACTTCTAGACCCTCCTTATCCTTGGATTCTTTCCTTAGATTCTGTTCTTCTCTGTCGGCACAAGCAACAGATATCTTCTTCTTGAACCCCTGTAGACCCTCCGTTTCCAGCGTTTCATCTTCGTCGATGTCCAATCCCTTCCATACGTCCTCTACAACCTTGACCCATTCCGTGGGTTGTCTACCCCTCTTTTTGTTTGCCCACTTCGCCTCCCATACTATTCTCGGCAATCTCTCCTCTCCCATCCCGCACATGCGATACTGCCATGTCAGCTTCCTTACGTCTCTTCCCGACCGTAGGGATTGGATCCCCAATTCTGCCCTGACTGCTGCATTACTTGTGCGCTTGGAGCATCCTAGGATGATTTTCGCTGCTTTCATCTGCGCCGCCTCGAGTTCTTTCACTACCTTCTTATTTCCTTCCCATACTTCTCCGGCGTACTCTAGCGGCGGTACGATTACGCTCTTCAAAACCGTCAATTTGATGCGTGTATCAAGGTGCCGGTTTGCGAGTATTGGGTGCAGCTTCCCTGCTCGTGCTTTGCCCTTTTCCGCTACCTTGGACATGTGTGTATTCCACGAGCAATCTTTTGCGATCTCTACTCCGAGGTATGTGTACTGGTCCACTACTGCAATCTCCTCGATCCCCCACTTCCATCTATGTTCTACTGGTTCCTCCCTGCCCTCGTTGCATACCATGACGGCACTCTTCGTAACGTTGGCAGACAATCTCCACTTATCAGTAAACTTCTTCGCCGCGTCAATTTGCAGTTGCAGTCCCTCAGGGGTGTCCGACATACCAACAAAATCATCCGCAAACAGCATTCCTGACACCGAAGTTTCCGTGTCCCCTACTTTTACTCCCTTCCGGACTGCCTCTACGACTTCCAACAGGTCGTTGATGAACACCTGGAACAATGTTGGGGACAGCGTGCAACCTTGTGGGACCCCTTGCTCAATGTCGAAGAATTTAGAAAGTTCTCCGTCTAGCATGACCGCGCTTTTCGTACACTCTGTCATCTTCTTCAGCACTCTCCACATTTTCCCCTTGATCCCGTACTTGGACAATTGTTTCCACAGCCCATTTCTCCATACGGTATCGTATGCCTTTTTCACGTCCAGGAAGAAGCAGTACAGTACGTCCGCTTTCCCGCCCTCTTTCTACCTTGGATGATTCTCCCTACCGTGAATGCGTGGTCTACGCACCCCCTCTTCTGTCGGAAACCTGCCTGGCCCTCACTAATGCTACGAGTCGTGGTTGGGGGAGGCGTGTTTTTGTTTTGAAGCTCCAGTCTTTGGCAATCCCAACGGAAGGGCTGAATCCTTCTTGAGATAGGAATTGAGGCAAGCACGGCGAAGGGAGGTAGAGAAAAATATATTATAATAGTTGTGTGTGTGGTTTTCCTCCTGGTTTGCCCCGGTTGATGCGCCCAGAATATACCCTACAGCCTGACTGCCAGAATTCATGGTACGATACACACACACCGTGGCGGTGTGACCTCTACAGACATCTAGATCGAGCTGTTTGACAGCGTGGAAAAGAGCAACGCCGTTTGGCACCACGTCGGTCCAAGCGAATAGGACTTGAGGACAGGTTGGGGTGAACACGCCGCTGTCCCAGTTGCTTTTTTGTTTTTTTCCGAGGTCTGGATATTTTGCCTTGGTCTTGGCGATGGGGCTTCCGTGTGTGGTGTTTTGCGCCCGCGTAGCACTTTTCTCTGTGGCTGGCACCTCGTGTTCGTTGTGTGGACTACTACTACTGTAGAGAAGCTGCTAGCCTACTGCTGTGGATCGAGTAAGCTCTGACGTGCCTGACTCGCGATGGTTGGCCACGCTGGAGTGGAGGTTTTGGGTCGGAGCGTGCAACGAGGTTTGTTTGTGTCGTGCAAGACTTCAAATGATTATTACAGCGTGCAATGGCCGAAGAACGAGCGATCGCGTTCAGTTCGTACACCCAACATATCGATCACATCTATCTCTGTCCCACTGTCTGAATGTGTGACGTCGAGCCCTTTGTTTTTTACGTTAGCGAGTGGTACATGAAAAATGGGCGCCCCCGTTAATATCGCAATCTCTCTCCTATAGTGCGACGACGACCTGTGGGTGAGGTGGATGGAGATGGCGATGAAGAGGACAGCAAGAGATCTAGCACGGGCGAAGTTCGCCGGCTGCAGTGCTTTGAGATTTTTGAGTTCGTGACCGCTATTGTTCAGCGGGCGGGATGAACAAAAGGGCGATGCTGGTATTTTCAACGTGGCAACATCGAAAAAAATATCCTGTCGCGAGAGCTCTCGTTGACGTGGTCCAAATACTACTTGTTCTTGGTCACGGTCCGTTTGTCGTGTAGATGGAGGAAATCGCTTTTGCTTTTGGAACGCCTGGCTCAGGGAGTGAGTGCGGCATCTAACGTAAAAAGTTTGAATCTATGCTATTTGTATTTGAATGTTGCATGAATTTGTGGATACGGTGTTCAACGGCTCCGAAGTGGTGCTGCTGCTCTTTTTATTGGTGTGCATACAACAATCAATCCCGGAAGAACCAGGTTCAGTATGTTGCCGCAATGACATGGTACTTCGTATTTTGATCTCAACTAATCAAGGACATCACGACACCCAAGATGACCTTCCCGCTTCTTACACGAGCTCACTGCGTTTGTGGCGTATGTACAGTAGCATCTAAGTCTTAGACTTACCTACCGTCATCCATGCGTATATCCGGCAATCAATTTCGGATGAAGGTGTAGTCTACAACAGTCTACAGGCTCGAACATGATGAGGACGATGGAGACACTCAAAAAGTGGCTGTAGATTCATTTCTTTTTCCGCAGGATGATCAAATGTGGTAAATAGGCAATGTTCTCGCTAACCGCCAACCAAGTATCCCTAACCGTAACCATGAACAAGAATCAAAGAAAATGACTTGTTGACTTGTGTTGGTTGCGGGCGGACTGATTTTTTTTCGTGGAGGGGTCGCAGGTAAGGCAAGGGTACGTACCAGGCATCCAGTTTTGACATGTCTGCCGAGACCCCACGATTTTTGCCCCCCACAACGCACACAATCATCCCACCTCGCCTCTTCTTCTACAGTTCTATTTCCCTTACACGCCAACCCCACAAGATGAACGCTGCGACGAGAGTTTCACGGAGCGGGATGGCCAAGTTTGCCAACAGGTACGTGTTGTACACGCACCGGTATTCGTACCGCCGTATGATACGTACGCCAGTAGCATCCGACAAGGAAGAGAGTCAGCGGCGCAAGATCATTTTATTTTCTGAAAGGGTCCGGCGGGCCAAAAACCTGATGCATGTCAAGTTGTGCATGTATGCCTTGCGAGCGGGTGATACGGTCGAGCTCTCTAGCGATCTTGAAGACACTCGTGCCACGTAAGCGTGCGCCTGCCGTCCCTGCCGTCGGCTCCTCCCGAGGCTTTTTCGCGCGGCACGCGTTTGGGTAATACTACCGCCCTAGACGCCCACTCGCTCTCTGATACGTATGTACCTGCTTTTTTTTTTTCTTCCCGGCATATTGCACGGAGTGTTCAACAGCGCGCATGCATGTGTCCTTCATGTACGCTCGCCACCCACGTCCCGCACACGCGCGCGCCGCGCTACCCGAGCGAGCGGCCAGTAGTGAGCATCGCGACTGAGCCTCACCCTATGTCGTACACCCGTGGTGATTTTTCGCCCCGTATGCATGTGGACGGGGCAAAGATGGAACCAAACCACCATGGATCATGCGTCTGCTGAAATGTATCCCACGCACCCATATGATACTTCGTACGTATGCATACATGCGACAGCATACGCCGGACAATCCAAAAGAGCACCGCGGGCTACGTACAGCGCGCTTTCCCTGCGTGTCGTCGCGTACGTTCATGCGGTAGCGCGCCGTCCGTGGTTTGGTGTTTCGCGAGTTACGGCGGGGGATTTCGGCGGTAGGGGTCTCTGCTCTGATAAGCTGTGGATCCGCAGCTTTTTTTTTTTTGTCATCCAAGATGGTTCAACGCTTTGGCGCAGGACACGTGTGCTTCGAACGCCCGGGGCCCGTTGCATGGAAAGTCGAAAGCCTATGTAGCTCGAAGGAGGACACCGTGCCCCAACGATCGACCTCAAAGCGCCTCACGCCTCCCGACCCACAGCAGGGCGCAGTGGTCGTTCATCTTGAAAATGTAACATGGAAGAAGACCGGTTTGTTATTTGCAGGCACACGTTTTCGACGCACACGTACGCAAATGTGTAGGCACACGCTTTCGAAACAACCCGCCGTCTCTGTTCGTGTGCATAGCTGATGACACCCAATGGCTCTCAAACCGCCCTGTGTAGAGACACAGAGACACCCGTCGTGCTTTTGCGGTGGCACAGAGCCTGTGGAAATTTCCCGATCACACTTGTGCTTCATATCTATTTCGCGTGTGTGGCACGTACACACGTATTGTTCAACAACACTCCGTACGTGCGAGGGGCGCGAGATCTTTTTTTTTTCATCAGTGCTTGAACATGACATGAGAGCATAACCCAAACGAATCCAGCTCAGTTGTATCAAGATCTTTTGTGGTATTCTCGATCCTACCCAAACGCGTGCGTACAAAGCGAAGCCGCCGTTTGAACATTTTCGTAAGTACATGAGCTGCATACCTCTCCCGCTTTTCATGATCTCACCGCGTGTTGTGCCCTTCTATTTTCATGTATGTACTTTGTTTTGCTCTTATGATGGTGGTACGATCGTGTTTTTTTTTGTGTGAACATGCTCCTGCCTCCTCCGCTCTTTGTTTTATCTCTGCCGTCTTTTCTTCCCTTCGTTTTCCTCATCGATAAACACGACAGCAAGCAGGCCTGGACCACCCCGCTCTCTCGTTCCCTCCACGGAGCGGGCGCGGCCCTCCAGCCGGTGACGATCATCGGCCAGCCCTCGAACGTCGTCAGCGACACCACGATGATCAAGGTATCTTTCTATCTACACATGCTTGGTGCGGGAAAATATGGGCGTGTGTGTGCCGATGGACGCTGTCTGTCAGCGTGTAACGTACGTATTCGGGGGGGAACAACGAGCAACCGTGTGAGAATTGTTCGTCTTGCGGGAAAAAAAAGAAAAGCGAGCAGTGTGGCCGTTTCGTGTGTTCTATGGGTACATGCTGCGGCGGAGTTAACGGCGGGGGTCGCATACAAAGTGGCTGAAGTAATGCTGGAATTGAAATCGATATCACCTGCAACAGGCGGAAGTTGACCGCAGGAAGCGCGTGGACTCGTTTCTTGGTGGTGTTGCATCGCGTATGCTTGATTATTTTCTCGTTCGAGATTGTTGCTGAAATCGGTTCGGCCGTGATCCGATCCCATCCCGCGTTTTTTTCCCGGTCCTCTGCACCATTTTGATGAATCTCCCTTTGGAACAACGCAGAAAGTGTGGAACAGCCCCGGTGCGATGCTCCAGGACATCTCCAGCCGCAAGTACGGATCTGCCCTCGGCGTCCAAGTCAGCACTGATGTCGAGGTGCGTTCCTGGTTCGCGGGTCTCCCAATCTTCTGGCACGTAGCTGGTTGTGAGGCTGCGGATTTTTCTATTCTGAAGCACGCGCAAAATAACGGAGACGGCAAGTGCGTGTTGCCCGTGCATCTAACGAAGAAAAACTAAAATCCTGCCGAATATTCTTCATGCTGGAGCATTGAACTCAATTTTTGAGCACCCCCCAGCACCAGAAAATAAATTCCCCCCCCGGTGTTTGCCATCGGGGTTTGGGTTTTCGTCGCTTGGCAACGACGTTGTAAAACAAGCCCCCCACTCGGTGTTTGCCATCGGGGTTGGGTTTTCGTCGCTTGGCAACGACGTTGTAAAAGAAGCCAATTCACTTCGTGAACTCGGCAACCAGGTTACCGTTTGTTTTTTTTTTTACCTCGGTTTTTTTTTTTTTTGGCGGTAACCATAATGGTGGTCGAGTAGATCATGTTGTGCGGGGTCGAGAAACCTCACTCCGCGCAACGGGGGATGATCGCACCACGTTGTGTTAAAATGGTCAAGCTTCCTCGAGGCAGTTACACAGTGCTTATAACTGTCTCTGGAA